TAAACATTGTTCATCAAAACATTTTTTTTAATAATTCTCAGAAGGACTGCAGATGTAATTGCAAGTGACCATCTAATTAAGAGAATGCCATAACCGATTCACAACGATGTCCTTTTAACCGTTTTATGATCAAGGATCATATGCTTAAAATCAATTTGTTTTTAAATTCAAGTCTTAATACTGGAAATAATATTTTTATTTTACACTGACAATATTATACATAATTTAAACATTCAAAAATTGATGCAAATTGTCACATACAATTTCGCGGCTTTGTCTGCAAACAAAATAGTTATTGTTGCGTGACTAGTAGGATGTAAATTCATGGTTTTCAGCTCACCTAGCCTCATCTAGGCTCAACCCAGGCTTTGTTTTAAGGATAATAAAACACAACCATGAGGTTGACATAAAATTCTACAATGTATCGTATGTTTTCGTACCATAATTGATTCACAACGTAAAAATGACAAGGCCTTTTTAATCTTTCTAAAGTTTTATGAATCATATTTTTTACACTTTTTTAATGTGTTTTAGAACAAAAACCATAGGTGTAGCTAGGGACGGGGGTGAGGGTAGAATGTGGAGAAAAAAATATGAACATATAGATTTATTAACTATACCTTGAACCGTTTTATTTTATTACAAAAATTATAAAAATAAATTAAGTTAAAAAAATTTCTTTTAGGATTTACTTGAGCGGACAAGTGAAAGTGTGGGCGTGGCATCTGGTGGAAGGGTGTGGCCAAGCCAATATATAGTTGTCCTACCCTCCTCCTGGTCTGGGTCCCCCTGCTCTTCTAGAGGGGAGATCCCCAGGGGGAACACCAGGTTTAAGGTCAGTATTCCCCCTCCAACCTTTTGGTGGCAAATTTTTGTACATTTTTGATTCATCGATTTTCATCAATTTAATATTCTTTGCATAAAAACCCATATTTGTGTGAGCAAAGTTATCTTGGTTCTTTGTTATTTTTTCTTTGCAGGCATTTTATCAGAATTTTTTTTTACCTTAGACAGATATTTGGATTTTAATCTTTTATGGGTGTAATTTTGTTTCCAATAAACGTCAAAACAGCTAAATCAATCCGTTTATAATTCTTTATGGCAAATAAAACTAACATAATCAATTTTTAGAGGGATGATATAATAATATCCGACGGTCCTCTGGTGTACGGTGCCCATCCCTGTACAGTTCAACCGAAGGGGTGTGGCGAGAAAGGGGCGTATATATCCCTCCCCTTATCCTACCTGAGGGATAACTCTAGCTGGGAGGAGGAGAGGGCGGGGAAACTGATGGCTCATCAGTTCTTTAAACTCAGGTCAATAGTTTACTAGTTTCAGGGATGCAAACTTATGAATGAGAATTAGTCAATCTTGGTTTGGATGTTTAAACAATGTTAGCCGTTAGGTACTTTCCCATTGGCAATTTCCCAAGCGGCAACTTCAAAAGGGTATCTTCCCAAGTGGAAACTAATCAAATGTTCAATTTCCAATCTGTCCTAGCCGAAGCGCCCTCCCCCCAAACCCAGCATAGCCACAGCGTTTGGCCCCTATTGCAGCCTGTGGCGCCTAACCTAACCTGTGGGAACGCTTGGGAAATTGCATGTTCCCAAATTGCTACTTGGGAAGCTGCTATTGGGAAGTCGCCCTTGGGAAAATGCCTTTGGAAAAATACCTAACACCGTTTTAACTATGCTTATTTTGTACGGTGTTCTACAATGTCATTTAAAGTAATAGAACTTGTTAGGTTTTCTGATTTTGTTCGTGTTCAAACTAAACAAAAATTATAATTAACATTTAATTTTAAGCTGTTCTAAATATAGCGCAGTTTTATCCGGTGAAAACCAGAAAACTGTAGGATAAGAAGATGACATTTAAACAATAATCAAGTGTATTTGATGCTAGAAAGCATGTGGCTTTATAGTTGCAACGTAAAAAGTGTCTGTAAATTTCTATTTCTCAAGTTCATTATTATTTAAAGTCATAATTTGAATTAAATTTTGAAAGTCGTCTTCCTCTCCCAGAGTTTTCTAGTTCTCACCGTATAAAAAAACCCTTCCTTTTTTATTCAATAAACTATATAAAAATATGGAATACAATTTCAATATTTAAATTTGTTTAGATTTGGCTTGTTCGATGAACAAGGATACCCTGATGACCCTCTTTATCCCAACTATTATAAACACCAGGGCAGAATACTTCCCACAGGTTTAACATTTTCATTGTTATCTTAAAGGGAGAGTAGTTTGTAGATATAATTTTTAGAGAGAAAAACGAGGATATTTTCATTATTTTTGATCAGAAAAAGGTTTAAAAAGAGTACCATTGTAAATCGAACTCTTTAAATAGAGTCCCTCTCGAAAGTACGTGTACAGACCCTTTAATCAAACCAAAAGTATTAAAGTAACCAAAAGTATTAAGGAAGTCGAATAACTCAAGATTTAAGAAAAGTTATAAAAAGGTTTACAATGTACTTTGGAGAACTGATTTCTTTTGTCAAATTCTAATATTTTATCCTTTAATCTCTGCAACCAGTTGTCGGAGACCTTTGATATTCCTAACACTGAATTTTGCTAGGTCTTTTCAAATACTATAGGTTCAGATATACTATCAAGTTTCTAACAAGCACATATATATGGATTAGAAAATTAAAACTCCTTCATAGAAAAGTTTTATTAGAAAAATGTCAGTTTTTGTAATTTTAGGATCAACAAATATTGACGTTAAAGGAGTCTGGTTGACGGAGAAAGGAATGTCTCCTTGTGCCCCAGACAATGAAGTTTGTGTTTTCCACCCTCAGGTATTAATCTGGAACACTGTGATTTAATCTAGGTATTAGTCTGGAACACTGTGATTTAATCTCAGGTATTAATCTGGAACTGTGTTTTCCACCCTCAGGTATTAATCTGGAACACTGTGATTTAATCTCAGGTATTAGTCTGGAACACTGTGATTTAATCTCAGGTATTAATCTGGAACACTGTGATTTAATCTCAGGTATTAGTCTGGACCAGTGTGTTCCATCCTCAGGTATTAATCTGGAACAGTGTGGTTTAATCTCAGGTATTAGTCTGGAACACTGTGATTTAATCTCAGGTATTAGTCTGGAACACTGTGATTTAATCTCAGGTATTAGTCTGGAACACTGTGATTTAATCTCAGGTATTAATCTGAAATTCTACAATGTATCGTATGTTTTCGTACCATAATTGATTCACAACGTAAAAATGACAAGGCCTGTTTTAATCTTTCTAAAGTTTTATGAATCATATTTTTTACACTTTTTTAATGTGTTTTAGAACAAAAACCGTAGNATAATAATAATAATAATAATAATAATAATAATAATAATAATAATAATAATAATAATAGTAATAATAATAATAATAATAATAATAATAATAATAATAATAATAATAATAATAATAATAATAATAATAACAACTTTGCTACTTGTAGGCTTTCTGCTGATAATGGTAGATGTGTTATTTGTGGAATAAATACTGCACTACAGGTAAAACTCATTGTTCAATATTACGAAAACGTTTAACAGTGGACTACTTTTTCATAAGTATAAATAAATATTTTTATTTTTATATAGAACAAAACCTTTGAAATATGAATTCTATTAGATCAAATAGTCTGAGTTTGAAATATCAATGGTTTACTTGACAATTGACATCCAGTTGCAAAGTTTTGTGGATAAGAACATTTGAGTTTGTGGCAAAAACTCTGTAAGTAAACAAAATGCACTGTAAAAAATCATGAAACAGTAATTTTATGAAAAATTAGATTGTCTATAAATTCGATGGTAAACTATAAAGTCTCAATTTATTCAAATATTTATGAAAATCTTGAATCTGTTAAGATAAAAGAGAAACACAAGAAATCCGCGAAAATGTATTTGTGCGAATTTACATGAACATCTCAATTTTGCCAACTTTAAAAAGAAACTAAATTTAAAAATTTGTTTAATATGTTTTTTTTTGGCTTCACAGGATGTTCTTGGAGAAAACAGAGATGGGGCGCATATCATTCTATTCACAAGGGGAGGTCAAGACACATTATCTCTGACAGATGAAACAAGGATCAAGGAGTTCATCATGTACTATCAGGTAGTTTATCATGGACTATCATGTAGATTTAAGGAGTTCATCATGTATCAGGTTGGTTTAAGGAGTTCATCGTGTATCAGGTAGATTTAAGGAGTTTATCATGTACTATCATGTAGATTTAAGCTTGTACTATTAGGTATATTTATGGAGTTTATCATGTACAATCATGTAGATTTAAGGAGTTTATCATGAACTGTCAGGTAGATTTAAGGAGTTTATCTTGAACTATCAGGTAGATTTAAGGAGTTTATCTTGAACTATCAGGTAGATTTATGGAGTTTATCATGAACTATCATGTAGATTTAAGTACTACAAGGGGGAGCACATGTTCAAATGTGCCCCCCCCCTAATTCAAAACCAGTATTTGCAAAGATGGGCTCGGTTAAAAAATGTTGATTAATTTTTGTCCCAACTGGTTCCCACAGTGCAAGGATTTAACATGCAGAAATTCTGTTCCGTTTCATCCTTCATACATTACTTACATTTAGTCAAGGTATCAGAGGAACACGATGCATTAAACTATGCCAGAAGTTGGGGTGGCTACACCAGATGTAGGGGTGGGAATGCCATGTACGACTTTTATGCTTATAGTGCTACCCTCTCAGAAAACTTATGCGTTCACAACAAATATAAGCATTTTTTTCACAGTTTTTTTTAAAGATATGTTGTCTAATGAAATATGGGAAACATATATTGAGGTTTCACTTTATTTTAAACATTATATACTAATACTTTTTTATATTTTTTTTATTTCATACGCAGACAATGATCTAAGTAACAAAGAATATGGCAGCTATCCAAATGTCACCTGGGGCCGGGGGGAAGGGGGTGGATAAAAGAAACAATTACGTACACACAAGAAACCTTATGTATGTGCACATATAATTAGTTAAATATTGACAAACCTTATATGTTTTGAACCATAACTCCTTTTATTGAAGAGATATTGAATGAAACAAAAATATTCAAAATTTCTAATATTTAAATAGGACAAATAATCTTAGAGGAGCTACGAGGGCTCAAGGTCGGACCAGGGATGTTAATCATAGTTTGAAGTGTATAAGATATATATTTGTATGTTTATAATCTAACCCGATTATTTTAGATCAAACTCTCTGCTATTCTGATTCCGGAGCAAGATGAACCATATAAAACCTTCTACGATGTAACCGCTTCAATATCCGGGGGGCGTACCCTGGTAGTCCCGCCCAACAGGAGGAAGAAGGATGGTGCGGCTAGGGGCGGGGTCAGTATGTACATGAAGTTAGCTGCAGCTGTGTCAGAGATATTGCAGACAGGCGGTGAAACAGAGATAATACAGAGGTATACAGGGTGTCTCTGAAAAAAGTGTAATTTGGCGTTTAGCCTACTAAACATCGTTGCATTGTGTTTAAAGGTTCTTCTAGTAGGTACAAACCCCCATATATGGGGTAAGTCGTCGATGAAACAATTTTATCTGAAATACCGCTTTTACCTTCAAAAGTAGGCCTAATATTCGAAAATGTGCTCTGTCTCTTTTAAGAAGATTGAAAAACAAAATATTAATTATAATTAATTAATTAATACAATAAATTACGTATTTTCAAGGATAGAATTGAGGAATTAAAAAAGATGACTAATATAAATGTTCGAATTTTTTTGAAAATCTACGGGAACAAAACCAACTGTACATTTCGAGTACATTGAAGGTTAAAACGGCATTTCAGAGCTAAATACTTTAACGACAACCCCCAAATTTAAGGGCAATGTATCCTGTAGAAACAGTGATATCCATAAAATTGTAGAATAGGAAGACGACTGTCAGTCTTAAGTTATGCGTTTCTATAAGTTCAGTGATCATGAAACACAGCAATTGTGCAGTGTACACTGTACACAAAGAAACTGCACTTGATAAGTTAACTTTCGAGCTTTCAAGTGAAATTGTTTGTTTTAAAACAACATTAGATAGACATAAGAATACTTAAATATCTTCTTCCTATTCCACAGTTTTTTAGGGTTCACTGTAAATACAGGGTGTTCCACGAAACATAACAGTTGGTAAATTGTTTAGAATGTCTTCTTCCACAATTTGTTAATTTGTTTAATACCAAAGACAATAATAAAAGTATCATAAAGGAGTCATATTACCGTAAAATTAACTTCAACGTAAGATATATTTGAGCAAAATATTTTTTAAAAGAAATAAACTGCAAACAGCCTTTAATTTCTAATACAGTGTATGGAAGACAACATCCTAAACTATTTACCAACTGTCATGTTTCGTGGGACACCCTGTAGATGAATAGATAAATTTACTCCCTGGTAAATTTGGAGGCGTAACAATTGGCTCTTATTTAGAGGGGGGGGGGGAGGTAAATTCTATTTCTTAACTAGGGGCATCGATAGTGACCCCCAACCTACTTTATCATTAACCTTATGATGCTTGATGGACTTTAATTACCTGGTATTTTCTGATCTCATGGAAAAATGTTTCCGTTAAAAGCTTCTTTATCATTAGATATAACTTACAAACCGTTTAAAAATTTTCAAGGTCTGAGAAATAGTTGAAAAATTCAAATCTAGATAAGTTTGTAAACAGTTACGGAATAAATTTAACAACATCCAAGAATGCATTTTAGGTTTTAATACTGATGGTATGCACTTTTGAGATGCAATTGGGCGGGGCTTAGAGGGGGGGAGGCTAGACANAATAAAAGTATCATAAAGGAGTCATATTACCGTAAAATTAACTTCAACGTAAGATATATTTGAGCAAAATATTTTTTAAAAGAAATAAACTGCAAACAGCCTTTAATTTCTAATACAGTGTATGGAAGACAACATCCTAAACTATTTACCAACTGTCATGTTTCGTGGGACACCCTGTAGATGAATAGATAAATTTACTCCCTGGTAAATTTGGAGGCGTAACAATTGGCTCTTATTTAGAGGGGGGGGGGAGGTAAATTCTATTTCTTAACTAGGGGCATCGATAGTGACATTTTTTTTAAAATGAAAGTTTACATTATTATTGAATCTTTCTATGACGAAACTTTGCCATTTTCACAATTTTCCATGTTTTTGACTTGAAAATTACCCCCTTTTTACAATCTTAAATGGCAATGTACACTTAGGATTCTTAAGACCAGACAAATATTTCATGAAAACTGATTTGAGTTGGACATTCGGGTTGGTCTATTTTGGAACCAAGCTTGAGTGCGCAGTATTACACCTCCGCCTAAATATTCTAAGAACTTCGCAAAAAACATCAAAAATTTAAAAAAACCCTATCAGACATGCCAGTTCCAAATAATGCAAATTATCCTAATTATGTTTAGCGAGATCTACAGTATCGGAAGAAATGAAGAGGAAAGCTGTGGATCCTTTCTTGTTCCGACATTAATGGACTCCAACCCAGATCTGGAGAATAGAAAACAGTCGAAAATACAATTTGGAATTGTGGTTGAGGATACTGAAGATCATCTTATTAGGTCATTTTCTAACCTTATTTTAATTCAAATTACATTGTTTGTATCACTACAGGATTACACAAAGGACAGAATTTATACTGTCTGCTATCCCCTGCAAATCACGCACCTCTGCCCCTTTAGTAAAAGTAAATTTAACCAATATGAAGCATAAAATCTGACCGCTTCAACCTTGTTGCACCGGCTAGTCCTGTCCATAGAGCTATGTACAGTACAAACTGGGAACGGAAAGGTTGACCCGGCTCGGAAACTCATATGTATACAGCTGCCCGTGAAATGTAAACATGTTTCTTTCTTTGCCTAATCATTAAGTAATCCATAAATAGATTATATTCAAGATAGGAAACTTAGTTTAATCCCGGAGTTGTCAAATTTAAAGAGTTTCAGGTCGTCTTTTATAGTCTTATCCTTTGAGGGTAACCCTGTACAACATTTTGTAATTTCGTTTTTTCTAAATACTTTTAGTAACTTCAATATTACATACAAAATGTTCTATAAGTTAAGTGACCCACCCTGTCTACTGCATGTATAGGGTCATCCACAAAGAATGAGCCTTCAGAGACGACTGATCGGGATTATTTTAGTCTTTTTTTCTTGCACTTAGGTTTCTTGTATTCTTTACTTGTTTTTTGATTTACCATAAAAAGTCAGAATACTAAATTCCACCTTCCTGTTTTCGCATTTAAAGAGTTTAAGTTCGTCATTCGCTCGGGTGCAGTCAACAGTTTATGGTCAACAGNAATATTTAAATTTGTTTAGATTTGGTTTGTTCGATGAACAAGGATACCCTGATGACCCTCTTTATCCCAACTATTATAAACACCAGGGCAGAATACTTCCCACAGGTTTAACATTTTCATTGTTATCTTAAAGGGAGAGTAGTTTGTAGATATAATTTTTAGAGAGAAAAACGAGGATATTTTCATTATTTTTGATCAGAAAAAGGTTTAAAAAGAGTACCATTGTAAATCGAACTCTTTAAATAGAATCCCTCTCGAAAGTACGTGTACAGACCCTTTAATCAAACCAAAAGTATTAAAGTAACCAAAAGTATTAAGGAAGTCGAATAACTCAAGATTTAAGAAAAGTTATAAAAAGGTTTACAATGTACTTCGGGGAACTGATTTCTTTTCTCAAACTCTAATATTTAATCCTTTTATCTTTGCAACCAGATGTCGTAGACCTTTGATATTCCTAACACTGAATTTTGCTAGATTTTTTCAAATACTATAGGTTCAGATATACTATCAAGTTTCTAACAAGCACATATATATGGATTAGAAAATTAAAACTCCTTCATAGAAAAGTTTTATTAGAAAAATGTCAGTTTTTGTAATTTTAGGATCAACAAATATTGACGTTAAAGGAGTCTGGTTGACGGAGAAAGGAATGTCTCCTTGTGCCCCAGACAATGAAGTTTGTGTTTTCCACCCTCAGGTATTAATCTGGAACACTGTGATTTAATCTGAGGTATTAGTCTGGAACAGTGTGATTTAATCTCAGGTATTAGTCTGGAACACTGTGATTTAATCTCAGGTATTAGTCTGGAACACTGTGATTTAATCTCAGGTATTAATTTTGAACACTGTGGTCCATCCTGTGGTATTAATCTGGACAACTTTATGTGTTACATTATCACAACTACCAAAACAATATTGTATTGCATACAAACATTTTTAAAAATTTAAACAAAATTTTAGAATTTTCTTAATTAGGGAGACAACGATGGTTTGATATGTTCACTGGGTTATCTCCCTCAGCTGGAGGGGACTACTAGATACTGTACCCCGGAGCAACTTAACTTCAGGTAAACAACTAATTGAAAATCTGACAAACTTTGTTTCCTATTTGGTATTTTATTTTGTTCTAAATCAATAAAAAAGAAAGGAGAATAAACTGGTTTTTTTCGCTTTACACCTTATTTTCTTTTTCTTTTATCTTTTATCTTTGCAACCTAATGATTTATTTCTTTGATTTTTGATTTTGCAGAATTTAGAGTTCATCAGGTTGTAAAAATATAAGGGACGAGAAAAGTAGATAAGAGTATTAAAGTTCTTTACAAAATAAAATGTTAAGAAAAGAAAATTGTAAAAAAGTTCTAAATTTTTAAATTTGAAATAAATCATGAAATTAAATTTTTTTCAGGATTCCTCCAACAAAACAAAATGTGATTTGCGGAGGAAAATCAGCTCATGAGATTATTGAAGGAAGTGAAGATTACAGGTTTACCTTTAATTAGCAATCAATCAATTATTATAAATCCTTTTCATGATCTGTAAATGATCTTTCCTTGTTTTTGATCTGTCCTTCTCATTGATCCTTAATCCTGATCCAGTCATTTTATATAATTTTTTCTCTCTAGTCATTGATCCTGCTAGTTCTTAATTTTTCATTATTATAATTTATCGATCCTAAGTTTGTTAATGATCTTTTCTGTTTTTTTAATTGATCATCTTTTAATTGTGTCTGTTTTTGATATTTTATCCTAACCTTGCAATTTCTCGTGTCCCCTTTATTGATCCTTTATGCTAACATTGTATTTGATCGTTTCTGTTCATGATATTTATTTCTTGGTCCTGTTATTGATCCTAAAATGTTATTTCTCCAGGTTGGTGAGTGGAACCGGAGACTCAAACTCAAGTTTTGTCCCTCGTGTAGATTTTGTTCTCAGCCCCAGGGAGAAGATTGTCCTTGTCCTAGAGACCTCGTCCTCTATGGGGGAGGACGAGGACTGGAAATGGATTCAAAAAGTTGCACATAAGCTTATCAGGTTAGTTTGAAAATCTATCTATCTTTATAATTTCTTTCTATCTAATTATCTATCTATATATCTATCTATCTATCTATCCGTTCTAACTATTTATCTATCTATTTATCTATTTATCTATCTATTCTAACTATTTATATATCTATCTATCTAAATATCTCCAGGTATGATCTACCTAGCAGTATAGAGGTTGGAGTTGTAAGCTTCAGTAATGAGTCTAAAGTAGAATATCCGCTAACTAAGCTAGAGTCTGCTAGAGGAAAACTAGCGGATAGTGTTCCAGATAAATATAGGTAATTACAACAATAATGATAATAATAATAATAATAATAATAATAATAATAATAATAATAATAATAATAATAATAATAATTTTTTGGAGGGAGTTGGGCAACATTTCTTGTTGTAAAATAATTCTCTTTTTTGTGCAAATTAGGCAAAGAATAAAATCTTAGAATTTCGAAACTTTTTAAAAAGAAAATCATGTCTTTAATTTTAACATTTTTCTAAATTTCAACATTTTTTACAAGCTTCAGAGAGATATCGTAACCTTTCCCCGTAATAGAAAGGAAATTTATTTTTCAATCTTGCGTTAGATATCAATTTATCTATCCCCTGAAATCCCCGTTTTATTGTTGACTATTGAAAAACGTCCCAGCTAATGAGGAGCGCAAAAATATTGTCCCACCGAGGGAGAAAGTTACTAACTGTTTGTATACAAGGTTAGAAATAGAAAAGAACTAAATTAATATTTAAAAACTTGTCAGCAATGGTCCTCAGGGCATCAAATAAAGGAAATTTGCTCCAAACTGTAGAAAACTGTAGAAAACTGTTGAAAACTGTAGAAAACTGTAGAAAACTCCAGAAAACTGTAGAAAACTGTAGAAAAATCTAGAAAACTCTATAAAAACCTAGAAAACCCTAGGAAACTCTAGAAAACTCTATAAAAACCTAGAAAACTCTAGGAAACTATATAAAACTCTATAAAAACCTAGAAAACTCTATAAAAACCTAGAAAACTCTAGAAAAATCTAAAAAACTCTAGAAAACTCTAGAAAACTCTAGAAACCCCTAGAAAGCTAGAACGATCTATAACACTCTAGAAAACTCTAGAAAACTCTAGAAAAATCAGGAAAACTCTAGAAAACTTTAGAAAACTCTAGAAAACTCTAGACAAATCTAGAAAAATTTAGAAAACTCGTCCGATTAATATTTTAGAAAGTGTGAGATAATTATGTTCCACGGGAACATTTTCAGAGAAAAGATGGGAAAAGTTGATTTCAAAAATTTAGTTATTACGCTTATCTTGAAAAAGGGGAACAATCCCATTAATTCTAGTTTTAACCTGTGCCAAGTGCAACCATGTTGACCTCGACCTAAATATTGCAAATTCTACAAAAAAAATCGTGAAATCTTGAAAAAAGTCAAGCATTAACAACATTTTTTATTACAGTTTTCATACCTAACATGTTATTTTATTATTTGTCAAGCGCAAAATAAAATCTATATCTTTAATAGAGCGCAAAAACAATACCTACTTAAAATATTAATTCAGGTTTTCCAATTTTAGTAAAAAACTAACTTGAATAGTTACAGATAAGTACAAAGTACATTTATTAAATTCAACTATTTTTTGTAACAACGAGAAGTAAAATTGTTAAAAAATTTAAATTCAATTCTTTCATGCTTTGGTTTTACTGTACTGTATGTTGTATTGTTCTCGCTGAAGATAAAGAGATATAAACCGAAAAGTTAATGCATCTTGATAAATATTCATAAATGTTAATAAATGTTGTACAAGAGTTTACTGTACTGTATGTTGTATTGTTCTCGCTGAAGATAAAGAGATATAAACCGAAAAGTTAATGCATCTTGATAAATATTCATAAATGTTAATAAATGTTGTACAAGAGTTTACTGTACTGTATGTTGTATTGTTCTCGCTGAAGATAAAGAGATATAAACCGAAAAGTTAATGCATCTTGATAAATATTCATAAATGTTAATAAANATAATAATAATAATAATAATAATAGTTCATGATTTCACCTGTGAACCCAGATCATCATAACCACCGAGCAAAATTATACCATCTTCAAAGTATGGTAGCGCACAGAAATCTTGTCTGAAAATCATTATATTGTCTAGTGTCTAGTATCTAGTTTCTGTTTAGAAATAAAGTGTCTGGTGTCTCATGTTTTTGTAGTGTCTAGTATCTAGTGTCTAGTGTCTGGTGTCTCGTATCTAGTATCCTTGAAGGGTACCGTTATGAACAGGACATTCCATTAATAAAGCGTCACTTAAAATTGAGTGTATAGTCTCTCTGAACAGACAAGGTGATTAGTTGATCGAAAACTGACCTGTATCCGTTAATTTCCCCGACCTCCTCCCACACCATAGTGTCTTGGTTAAACCTTTCTATAGACCTAAATATATTTAACGGTTAAACAGATGTACATATAAACATATTTAACAGTTAAACATATTAACATCTAAACATGTTTAACGGTTAAACATATTTAAATCTAAATATAATTAACAGTTTAACATATAAACACCTAAACATGTTAAACAAATGTACATCTAAATATATTTAACGGTTAAACAGATTTACATGTTAAAGGGTTAAACAGATTTACATCTAAACATATGTAACGGTTAAACAGATTTACATCAAAACATATTTAACGGTTGAAGAGAATAACACCTAAAATGCTTAGAATTTCTCTCGAGCTGCTCCGACCTGAGTTCCTGCTTCCGGAGTTAAGGTCTCCGCTGCTTTAGCTTCTGTGAGGCCACAAATTTTCTGTGGTTTCTCAACCCTAATAAAGAGGACAATGTCGCCAACCTGTGGAACTGATCTCAGTTCTTTCCAGTCGAAGGTGATTCTCCTTCTGGTGTGTTCCTGTTCTCAGAGAGAGTTGAAGAGGTGGAGAACAAATGGTAGGAGGATCTGGGTCAGTTGGAGGATCAGGCTTGGTTGAAGGGTTTAGTTTGGTTGGAGGGTCTGGTTTGGTTGGAGGGTCTGGTTTGGTTGAAGGATTGGGTTTAATTGACGGATACGGGTTGGTTGAAGGATCTGGTTTGATTGGAGGATCAGGTGCGTTTGAAGGATCTGGTAGTCTTTATTCTACCGGGTTTCCAGATTCCCTTGGTTCTCTTGGTTCTCTTGGTTCTCCTGGTTCTCCTGAATCTCTTGATTCTCTTCTCCTGATTCTCCTGCACTGGTTCTTCTTATTCTCCTCATTCTACTGCTCCTGATTTTCCTTATTTTTCAGATTCTTCTGATTCTCCTGATTCTCCTGCTCCTAATTCTCCTGATTCTCATGCTCCGGATTCTCCAGATTCTCCTGCTCCTGGTTCTCCACTCCTGATTCTTCTGATTCTCCTGACTCTTCTGATTTTCATGCTTCTAATTCTCCTGATTCTCATGCGTCTGATTCTCTTGGCTTTCCTGCTCCTGTTTTGGTTGGAGGATCGGGTTCGGTCAAAGGATTTGGTATGGTTGAAGGGTCTGGTTCGATTGGAAGATCAAGTGGGGTTGAAGGATCTGGTGGTCTTATTTCTCCCGGGTTTCCAGGTTCTCTTGGTTCTCTTTGTTTTTCTGGTTCTCCCCATTCTCCTGATTTTCCTGATTCTCCTGCTCCTAATTCCCCTGATTCTCCTGCTCCTAATTCTACTGCTCCTGATTCTCTCGGTTCTTCTGAAAGATCTGGGACGGTTGCGAAATTTGATTCTGTTGAAGGATTTGGTTTAGGCGAAGTATCTACAGTTAATGTAGGACCAACCAGTGGGAGGTCAGTAGGGGGATCTTGGATGAAGGTCTTGACAAGAGCGATTTTTCCACAAGTGTTGTAGTAGCCTGAAGGAATTGAGCTCTGTAGAAATTCCATTAAGTCATAGCAATCCTAGTAGAGACAGGAGTACCTAAGCTGCAGAGGGAGTGGAGGGAGGGAGTTCCATGGCAATCTCTTGGGTTTCATGGAGGTCGAAGCAGTCATAAAGGAAAAGGTCTGGGTTGGATTTCTTGTTCAGAATTTACAATAAAATGCAGGTATAGTAAAAATAAATGGTAATTTATAAATGTTATTGAATGATTAATAATATATCATACTATTTTATCGTGTCAAAGTGATAAGGAGTGATTAGAGATCGGAGGGTTTGATGGAATAGTTTTAAACATTTGTAAATACTTCTGAAAATATAAACCCAGTTGTTTAAGTGGAAATTACTATGGATTTGATCTTTCACTAGTAAAACGTTTCACTGTTTGTTGTTTCCCGTTTGTCAGAGAATACACCTAACTGTCGGAGACTTACTTTGGGTTGAAACTGCTCCGAGAAGGGTTTTGGTAAAGACGACTTAAAGGGGGGGGGGTTAGAAGTTGTATTTATGGTCAACAAATATGCATAAAATATACATAAAATATAAAAAGATAAAAGGAACATAAATAATATTATTAGTTAAAACCCAGACTGCGGAAAGATTTGAAGCTTTGAATAAATTATTTATCATTACAAGATTGAGTGCCGTAGGAAGTAGAGAAACTTTATATTTATACAAACTTAGAGGAATCAGTGGAATTCTTCTAAATATATTTATACAAGTTTAGTGGAATCAGTGGAATTGTTCTAAATATATTTATACAAGTTTAGAGGAATCAGTGGAATTGTTCTAAATATATTTATACAAGTTTAGAGGAATAAGTGTAACTGTTCTAAATATATTTATACAAGTTTAGAGGAATAAGTGTAATTGTTCTAAATATATTTATACAAGTTTAGAGGAATCAGTGGAATTCTTCTAAATATATTTATACAAGTTTAGTGAAATCAGTGGAATTCTTCTAAATATATTCATACACGTTAAGAGAAATCAGTGAAATTCTTCTAAATATATTTATACAAGTTTAGTGGAATCAGTGGAATTCTTCTAAATAAATTTAGGCAAGTTTAAAGGAATCAGTAGAATTCTTCTAAATATACTTGTGCAAGTTTAGTGGAATCAGTAGAATTCTTCTAAATATATTTATGCAAGTTTAATGGAATCAGTGGAATTCTTCTAAATATATTTATGCAAGTTTAAAGGAATCAGTAGAATTCTTCTAAATATATTTATACAAGTTTAGTGGAATCAGTGGAATT